GTCAAGTTTGAGTTCACTACGCTAAAAGCAAACATTTAATGGTTCTCTCATACTTTCTACGTCAACTAATAGATGATTCAACATAAATTAAAACCCTAATTCTAGTTGCTTTGTTTAGGCATCAACTCTCTTCACTTCATAAAGCTTAAGTGCTGAACCAAACAGACCTGAGCCAAAACGGATGTACAAGAGTGGAGCAGCCTGCTGCCCCCTGCTTGGCTTTATTTGCAAGACCCAGAAGATTTTTATTCTTTTATGTAATTTTTTTTCCATTCATTTCCATAACTCCTTACTTTTTCTTCTTTACAAAAAAGTGAGGTTGGAACAGGAGTGTCCATAACGAAGCACCTTCACAGATGCTTCCTATGTCCTTTCCCTAAACCAGCCAGCCAAGCCTCTTTGGAAAAAGGCTTGTTTGGGCATCCCCAAAAGTCGTTCAATGTTTTCTGCTTTCATTTTTCTTTCTTCTTCTTCTTTTTTTTTTTTTTTTGTGGGAGGTTTTCAATGGGTTTTAAGGGTTAGTGCCTTAGAGAACTTTATTCCTTTTCAGCTCATGCTCTCTGTCCTTCCATCAATGGCATGCCTTCTCGTCAAAGAACAAATTATACCCATCTCATTACTAAGTTGATTTCTATCCAGCACATGATCATTTTGTTTTTTGTTTTTTGTTTTAATTCGAGAAGGATCACTTCATTTTTTTAGACCCATGATGGATTGGGGCGGCGCTAATTAGTATGATTAAATTTCTCATAATTGCATTTTGACCCCTTAATCTTTTAATTATGTCACTGGAATTTACTAGTGTAAAAAACATGGCCTTACAAGGGCACATGTTAGAACTTTGGAGAACATGATTATTAATTTCCACGTCAAGTACACCCAATTCAATTCAACGGGTGGCTCCTGAAACAGCCAAATCGCTGGTCCTTCCTTCTAATTATTATTACTAATTATCATCAAGCTTAAGTAATTGCGAGCTCTTTATGAAGTTATTTTCAGCTTTTTGACTCTGCCAGTACTGATTAACTCCGGCATTTGCAAATGACGTTTGGTTGATGTCACAAGAATTCATAATTAAATTTACCCAGTTGAGATAATATCTTTTTAATTAAAAGCATTTAAAATCAACCAAAAATATGCTCAAAATTAAAATATTATCAATCCGAATAGTTTTAAAAAGTTTGATATCTTAAACTTTTGGGACTTATACTTCAATATTTTTATCTAATTTATAACACATAATATTATAAAAACCAAAAACCGAATTTTTACCTCGTCATTTAAAATTTTAAAAATATAATATTTTTATGAATAATATTCGAATTATCTGTAAAAAAAAGTGTAAAAATTAGAATATTACAATATTTTTATCCGTGATTTTCTAATTTAAAAGTTCAAAAATTAAAATATCTTAATTTGTACGTGGTATAGATTGATTAAGTTGCAGTAAATGGCCATATTGAAAGGTCTGAAAGTCAATAGAAGTAGGGAAAATGGAGAAATCTTGAGTCAAGAGACGAAGTTTGAAGAGAAAAGTAAGGACCATTTTTGGGCTTTATTTATTTATTTATTAGCAATTTGCAATTTACTCGTTGATGTTGACATAATTTATACATGTCATTGACATCATTTATACATGTGATTGTAAATTGACAGAGTACCATGGCGTGGGAGACAACACATGGACTGCCGTCCTCTTCCTTCCGTACAAAAATAAATATATCTACTAAAATTAATAACAATAATAATAATAACAAATTTATTAAATATGCAATAAATGTGACATAAATAATTAAAAAACTCTTATATATATATATATATAAAAGAATTAAGTTCAAATGTGTAAAAGTGCATTTTTGAAGAATAATAATTACATTATTTTAAATATAATTATTTTTAAATTATAAAACAGACGAGAATACTTTTAAAAATTGAAAAAATTATTAAATAAATTAATAAATAAAAGTGAGCTTATTTAAGAAAAGATTAACTTTTTTTAGAAATGTTTTAGTCTAAATTTTTATTTATTTTCTTTTTTTAAGATGGTGTTTGGTTTAAACTTAAAATGTTGATTTTTTAATAAAATATTATAATTTATATATTGGGTATAGGATAAAAGAAGGGATCAATTAATACCGGTGTAAGTGTAAAAATTTACACCAAATCTTACACTGTTGATTTGGTCAAAATTAACGGATGAAATTAATTAACTGTAAATTAATTATTGGAAGTTATTAGAAGACAACTGTAATTAATCTCATCCGTTGATTTTGGCCAAATCAACAGTGTAAGATTTGGTGTAAGTTTTTTACACTTACATTCGGTGTCAATTTATCCCTTCTCATAGGATAAATAATTAAAATTGATTTAATGTGCAATTTAATTTTAAATTTTTAATGAAAAATCACACATGATTTTTTATGAATAATTTTGTACTTGTTTCCAAGAGTTTATTTCTAACAATTTTTAACTTCTAATTACAAAAAAAAAAAATTTTTTACCATCAGAGTTTTTGCATATAAACTATTTTTCTCTAAATTTTAGCTAAGTATAATTGTAAAATAATTTGAATTCTTGCTGGACAAATATAATTCCACCATATTAATTATAACCTAAATTTACTCTTACCCAAGTTAATAAGAGAAATAAATGGTTAATTTAGATATTTTAATATAAAAAGTATAAATATTTAAAATATTTATTAACTTAATTTTACTTTTTAATAAAATTTATGAGTGTTGCTAATTTTTATACTTTTAATTATTTTTAAAACCTGATATTTATTTAAAAATAAGAATTCTCACGAACAAACAAAATCTTTGTGAATTAAAATCTATTTTAAAAAATGTAGCAATGAAATTAAAAATTAATTTTTTAAAAAAATAAGTTTAATTGAGAAGAAAAAAGCAACTCAAACTGATTGAATTCCAAGCGACAAGTCGTCCAGCAGATCGTACAGGTACCATGAATACGAATCTGAGAAATGGGGGACAAAGATGTACAATGCCTCTCTCGAGGGAGATCCCTCTCTGCACTAAACCAACAAACACAAGCCCCCTCCTCTTCTTTCCCTTCCACGCTCTCTGCTCCCGGCAATTATTTGATTTCTGGGTTCGCTAGCAAATGCCATCCACTTTCGGTTAATTTTCAGAGTGGGATTTAAGTTAAAACATTATTATTTATTATTTTCATTACAAATTTATAATTGTAAAATTAAATATATTTTAAATTTCAAGTGAAGATAAAAAAGTTAAATGATAAAACAAATCCTGAACTTGTATTTATGTCGTGGATTTCACAATGGTTAGAGTAAAGGAAGAAGAATAAATTATTATAAGTAGCGGTATTGTACATCTTAATAGATATATATATTTTTTTAAAAAAATCAGAAATATTAGAATTGATTTTAAGAATATAGTTTATTGGTGGTGTAATCCACGTTGAGGGACATGGATAGGTCGTAAATCCTACTTTAACAAATACATTAAGGTTTAACGGTAGAAAGTGTGCCAGACATAATGCATCAAACATGTTAAAAGAGCAAGTGTGGGATAAAAATGATCGTTTATAGAGAAAGTAAATCACGTTAGACATTGAGATAGAAAATTGAAATTCATTAAGTTATTTGTTGAGAAAAGAAACCTGACAAACAAAAGTAATTTTTGTAGATTATTCTTTTAATTTAGTTTATATTATTATATTTAAAAGGGTAATTTTGGGTAATTTAGTAAAGGGTTAATTTCTTTTTTCACTAAAGTGCATTAATTTTCTCTAAAAATAGTTTTACATTTCTCAAAGATTTTCTTTCTTTTATAAAAATTATATATTAAAACTAACAATTAATTTAATTTTTAATTTTGATATGCTTAGTGCTGAGATGTTCCCTCTTAGAGGCCTTTCTGGGATGTCCAACATGGGACTTTATTACTAAGCTTATGCGGGAAAAGGGTTCCAACCCGTAAGAGAAAGCCGGGCCACCAAGAGATAATGACCCTTCAGAGGGGTAGGGCTGGCCTTCAAAAAGACAGATAGATACACCTCAAAAAGCCACCTCCTTCCCCAAGCAATCAAATCCGTTGTCTCCTTGCCCTAGCAATTGCTCTCAGAGAATCAAACATGAGCTGTGGAGCCACCATTATTCCCTGTCAGTAGTAGAAACCCACATTCCATTCATATAGAGAGAGAGAGACTGTGTGGGTGTCTATCTAAGTCACGTTCTTACAAGAGCACTCTTTCCCGTGTAAGATGATTCCTGTACTTTTCCTTTTAGAGCAAGCATTCTCTCCATTCTGAAGGAATTAGAGAGGTTAAATTTTATTTATTTATTTTTTAAAAATGAACTTTAATTAAGTTCAAAATTCATTTCAAAGTTCATCCATTTAATCTATTTCAGTGAATTTAGTTGAAGATCTTTGCAATGTTGAAAACTTTGAGAAAGATTGAAACCTCTTGTAGAAACTCAAATTATTCAAATTGCTTTCATTCTTTTGTACCTTCCCCCAATTTGGGGAGAGGGGGAAGGTTTGAAGAGAGGCGATCTATTTTTTTTTTAATTTCTTATTTAAATTTAGAAGTGGAAGATCAAAATTCAAAAGCAAATAAAGCTGCTTTTACTTTTGAGCCCTCACTTTAAGACTACTCCATCTTCTAATAAAGCTCAAACACACACATTGCAGAGTTAGTCCCAAGGATGGAGAGAAAGGAATAAAGCAGAGGAACTGGAGTAAAGCTTCCTCTGGTTCCTTCTTCCATGCTGCCTATTCTATCCACGCATTCCAATTATATCTGGATCTTTCACAAACAACATCGTAATGATACATTAATAATCATCTTCTTTTACTTCTTGCATATCCCAGTACGGTTTGTTGCAGACATTTTTCCAAACCCAAGAATGTGCAGAAATTTTTTTTAAAGAAAAACAGAGATATTTCAAAATAGGTATTGGTTATTAGGCAATATAAAATTACCCACGTGAATTTTTACGTTATACATCTAGATACATGATGGTATGCATGTTTTCAAATGCAATCTTGGCCCTGTCTACGATTTGCTGCACATGTGCATGCCATGGCTAAAAGGATTACATGAGTTTTTCTTTTTCTTTTTCTTTTTCTTTTTCTTTTCTTATGGTGTTATCGATAATCGTGATGATTTGAGAGCATCATAGCAATGTCTAATCGGCCGTCCATGCATCATCAAGGTGTTAAACTTGATTTATTTCTTCTAATTTATTCTTGTACGAATTAAAATAATAAAGCTAGTTGTCTAATTATAATAATCTTTTTCGATTAGAGATAACAAAAATAAAAGAATAGGGAAAACATAGATAAATAAAGCAACCCTTTTTTACCTAGATGTACAAATTTATTATTCTAATATTTTTCTTTTAATATTCAGTAAGTAGAGCCTTTTTCTGTAATTTTTGTGCAAATTTAAGAGGCTGTTTTTGCCTGTTTATTCAAGTCTCTAGTCATTTTCAAGCTCTGGGTTGACACTCGCTCTGACTTTGTAATAGGGGCCTGCATTGATCACCACATCCATCTTCCTTTCATTTGTGTTTATTGTTCTCAATTTTTTATGCTTTGATTTATGAAAAACCAGCATGTGTAGTTGTCATTTTCCTAAAGTCTAGGGGAAATTGGAAATTCTGGGTCACTGGAAGTGCAAATGCATCATCTCTCACTTAAAGTAAAGGGCACCCTTTGTTAAAGCTAAAGGGTATTTTTGTCCATTAGATGAGAGAGAGGATCCAACTTTGCTTTTCTCTTAATCTGCACTTTAAATTTCTGTTATCCAACGGCTGTTTTTTAATTTTCCATTTCCCACAAAACCCTCTTCTGCTTTTTCTTTCTCACTCTTAGCTTTGCTCACAGCAAAACCAGTTTCACCAGAGCACCAATCTTTTCTTCTCGATTCAAATAGAGAAAAGAAAAGCGGAGAAAGGAAAAGGGAGGCTCAAAACTTATTCCTCGAACAAAATCTCTCTTTCCTTGAAGATGACTGATTCTTCAAACCATTTCCCACCTGAAGTTTCCCAGATTCCCTTAAAAACGATTTTTGCTGTACCCCTTAAAACCCACAGGTTCGTCTTCACTTCTTAAACCCATTCCCTCTGAAAAATCTGCTGGAAAATAGTAAATATGCCACTCCTCCTTGTTCTAACAGTCTTTCTCCTGGGCACTTCTTCTTCAACATCTCTAACCAGTGACTTCCATGCCTTAATCACTCTAAAACGAGGCTTCGATTTTGCGGAACAGGTTTTGGTTTCTTGGAATTCTTCAAATCCAAGCTCAGTTTGCTCATGGGTTGGGGTCAAATGCTTGAGGGGAAGGGTCGTTTCTCTGGATTTAACAGATATGAGCCTCCATGGCTCTGTTTCCCCTGTTTTCTCAGGCCTTGACATGCTCACCGATCTCTCTCTTGCCGGAAACAACTTCACAGGAGAAATAAAGGTAGAAAACTTAAGCAGTCTCCGGTCACTGAACGTGTCGAACAACCTTTTCTCTGGCAGCCTGGATTGGAACTACTCGAGTCTTGCAAATTTGCAGGTGTTTGATGCCTACAACAACAACTTCACAGCTCCACTTCCAATTGGTATTTCAAGCCTCAAAAATCTTAAGTACCTGGATTTGGGGGAAACTATTTCCATGGAAAAGTCCCAGAAATTTATGGGAATTTGATTGGTTTGGAATACTTGTCTTTGGCTGGTAATGATTTGCAGGGGAGGATTCCAGGTGAATTGGGCAATCTTACAAGCCTGAGAAAGCTTGAATTGGGCTATTACAATGTCTTTGAAGGAGGCATTCCGCGTGAGTTAAGCAAGTTAATTAATCTGGTTCATTTGGATCTCTCAATGTGTGTACTGGACGGCTCTATTCCTGCTGAGCTCGGGGACTTGAAGTCCCTTGAAACCCTTTTCCTTCACACGAATCTGCTGTCAGGCTCAATTCCAAGGCAATTGGGCAATCTCACAAGTTTGGTCAATCTTGATCTCTCAAACAATGCAATTACAGGTGAAGTCCCTATTGAGCTTGGTAATCTCAAAGAGCTTAAGCTTTTGAATTTGTTCATGAATAGATTGCACGGGTCTATGCCGGGCTTTGTGGCTGATTTGCCTAAATTAGAGACTCTCCAGTTGTGGATGAACAACTTCACAGGCGTGATTCCAGGGAGCCTTGGAAGGAGTGGAAGCTTGGAAGTGCTCGATTTGTCCTCAAATAAGCTCACGGGTACTATTCCTTCTAGCTTGTGTGATTCCAGAAGGCTTAGGATTTTGATTCTGCTGAAAAATTTTCTATTTGGGTCAATACCGGAGAGTTTAGAGACATGCTTCAGCCTCGTGAGAGTGAGATTAGGGAAGAACTATTTGAACGGGAGCATTCCAAGTGGATTCATTTATTTGCCCGAGCTCAATTTAGTAGAATTGCAGGATAACTACTTGTCTGGAAATTTGTCTGAGAATGGGAATAGCACTTCCAGGCCTGTGAAATTAGGCCAGTTGAATCTCTCCAACAATCTTCTTTCAGGTTTTTTACCGTTTTCCCTTTCTAATTTCTCTTCACTCCAAATCCTTCTCCTCGGGGAAACCAATTCTCTGGTCCAATCCCTCCTACCATCGGAGAACTCCACCAAATGTTGAAGCTTGACCTAAGAGGGAACTCCCTTTCCGGCAAAATCCCACCAGAGGTTGGAAATTGTTTCCACTTAACTTTCCTTGATTTGAGCAAGAACAATCTCTCTGGCTCTATACCACCAGAAATTTCCAATATCCGGATCTTGAACTACTTGAATCTATCAAGGAACCACTTGGTGGAAGCCATACCCAATTCAATTGGTTACATGAAGAGCCTTACAATTTTAGACCTCTCCTTCAATGATCTCTCCGGGCAGCTCCCCGAATTAGGCCAATTTGCATTCTTCAACTCCTCTTCTTTCATGAACAATCCTCAACTTTGTGGATCCCTATTGAACAATCCATGCAATGTCACCGAAACCAGAAAGCAGCCAAAGAATAACTCAGGGGAGTTCAAGATAATCTTTGCCCTCGGCCTCCTAGTTTGCTCCCTGGTATTCGCGGCTGCAGCTATCATCAAGGCCAAGTCCTTCAAGAGGAACAATTCATCCTCATTTAGGATGACTGCCTTCCACAAGCCTGAGTTCACAATCTCAGACGTCCTGGAATGCATGAAGGACGGGAACGTGATCGGTAGGGGAGGCGCAGGGATCGTCTACCATGGGAAAATGCCCAATGGATCCGAAATCGCAGTTAAAAAGCTCCTTGGATTTGGTATGTTTGATCAGACATTTCCTTATCATCTTTAATTTGAATTTCTTATAATTAATATATTTTTAATCGAAGATTTCGATGAAATTATAAATTTTAACGTTCAATTTTTTATTACTTCAAATTTAACGTAGAATTTTATCTGTTTCCTGACTTGAACAGGTAACAACAGCCATGATCATGGCTTCCGGGCCGAGATTCGAACGCTGGGTAACATCAGGCACCGGAACATCGTGAAGCTGCTGGCGTTTTGCTCGAACAAGGACACGAACTTGCTGGTGTACGAGTACATGCGCAATGGGAGTTTAGGAGAGGCCCTTCATGGGAAGAAAGGAAGCTTTTTGAGCTGGAACTTGAGATACAAGGTGGCCCTAGGAGCAGCCAGAGGGCTCTGCTACCTCCACCATGACTGCTCGCCGTTGATCGTCCATCGGGACGTCAAATCTAATAATATTCTGTTGAGTTCAAACTTTGAGGCCCATGTTGCTGACTTTGGGTTGGCCAAGTTCTTGGTGGACGGCGGTGCATCCCAGTGCATGTCAGCAATTGCTGGGTCTTATGGCTACATTGCACCGGGTACGTGGTCGTAGGCTTTCCTCAGCTAGCATAGCTAAATGTTACTGCCCGATTTTTGTCACCCCTGTGTAATACACGTATAGTCCTTAACAATGATTAAAAAAAATGGATCCAACCGGGTCGGACCGCTTGGCTAGTGAACCGTTCATGGTCCAATTAAACCGGAATGGTATGAGATAATTAGCCTAAATTGGGACAATTGAAACTCGCTAAGGTTAAATTGAAGAAATCAAGAATTTGGGGCTAAATCAAAAGTTACTCCTTACAAATTTGTTCTGCAATTGGCCTGCATAAACCTGAGAGTGAAGCACCTACTTCTGTAGACACTGGGTTGGACACTGGATTGTTAACCTGGATTATGAGTGGGTCTGGGGATTTGAGCTGAGCTAAGTGGCTCAAATGGGTCGTTTTAGTTGGACAATTGGATGGGCTTCGATCGGTGGCCTTTTTAATTTTCGGTATATTCAAAATATAGCCTTTTAAGGTCCGAAAATGAAATGGGCTTGGGCATATTTAGTACCCGGTTCAGTTCATACTCCTATCCGTGTTGGTTTATATCCCATGTACTGGGGCAGTTCTTGCCTTATTTGGTTCAGTCACATACCTAAACATGAACTGAAATTGAACCCAACCAATTTATGTACTGAACAACTCGGTACAAAAGTTTAATTGGTTTCGTGAACTCCTGAACCGGAACAACACCCAATTTTGGTTTTGTACATTGTTTTTGTTTTCAAATAAAACCGAAATGACTGGTTCAGTTCCGGTTTGACAGTTTAGTCTGTTTTTTTCCTGTCTTTGTTGAAATACCTCTAGTTGTGATGTGTCAACTATGGCATTAAGAAGATTTTTGTTTTTAATTATTATTATTAATATTTTTACATTACAGAATATGCTTATACCCTGAGGGTGGATGAGAAGAGTGACGTGTACAGCTTCGGCGTGGTCCTCCTCGAGCTCGTGACCGGGAGGCGACCGGTGGGCGATTTCGGGGAGGGGGTGGATATAGTGCAGTGGGCTAAGAGAGCAACAGGCTGCAGAAAAGAAGAAGTGGCCCAAATTATTGATCCAAGATTGACCAAATTGTCCCTGGAAGAAGCCATGCACCTCTTCTTCATTGCCATGCTGTGCGTCCAAGAAAACAGCGTCGAGAGGCCGACGATGAGGGAGGTGGTGCAGATGCTGTCCGAAAAAGAGACAGATTGTCCGACGGTCCGAAAAGATCCCTTGGTCTAAGGAAGCTGAGCTTTAGGCTTTCTTTTTATTTTATTTTATTTTTTTGGGTTTCTATCCTGGAATGGCTTGATTTTGTAGGGCTTGCCATGTGCAGAGTTTTTTTTTTCTCTCCCCCTTTTTTGAACCTGTTCAAAACCTTCAATAGTTTCTCTTATCACTTAGGTTTAGGCATTAATTGGAAATTTGGGGCTTAATGAAAGTTGTAATTGAATTAAAGGGTGCATTTGGGTTAGGGACTGGAGAGCTTGCAGACCTTAATGAAGTTATGCTTGCTCTTTGTATTATGTTAATACGTATACATATTACATTTGATTGTTTCAAATGTCATTTTATCCTCAATCATCTTTTTTTTTTGGGTAATTTCTGAAAATTGCTGTCTAAATCTGTTTTCTGCATTTGCTTTTGGAGAATTAAAGAAAACAGAACACAAATCTTGCAAACAAGCCAGCCATTGCAAACCTCTGCAACTTGGCACATCTTTGCTTGTGTATATGATCCATAACACCTTAAGTGGCAGTCCTCAGGCCCATAAAGAATTGGGCAGATCCACCATCAACCTTCCATCTTCAGGATTTTTAGCCTGTTGGATAATGTTTTCAGAAACAATTCTTTTGTTTTTGGAAACAGAAACCCATGTAGAAAAGGCATGTCATAGCTCTTTCCCAAACAATTTTTTGAAAAACAAATTATTTGAAAGATGTAATTTATAAAAGTTCCTACTTTTCATTTGGGTTTCATCAAGAGATCTTATTCCTGTCTAGTCTAAGTTCCCCACCCTTCGGTGTGAAATTATCTTCTAAATCTTGCCATTAGTCTCCCCTCCTTGCACCTCTTCCTCACCTCTCATTCTGAATTCATACTTGTGCATTCTTATTTTCATATCCATCAGCATATAATTTAAGCTTATGCTTTCACAAACATAAATATATAAAAGTTAAGCTAGTGCTGAGTTTGAATTTGTTTTTGAAATTCGTCTTTTTGTTGTGAAAATAGAAAACCCATTTTTCACTTGCTTTCAAAGATTGCTTTCCTGAGAATTTTGAAAAAGACATACATATCTTTAGAAGATAATTAAAAAATGTCTTGAGAATTCTGAAAAATATTCTTGTTCGAAAATAAAAATGATAAAGAAAACTATAGAGCTTTAAAGATTTTCAGTTTTTTTTTCTGTTTTCAAAAATAAAAAAAATGAAACACCAGGAACAGAAAACAGAAAACAGATCTAGTTGTATCCAGGAATACGTTACAACTTCACTGTCATCCATTTGTTCAATTGTGCGGGGCTGGTTATTTAATTCTATCCAACCACCCCATCCAGCTTTCTTGCTCTAGCCTCTTCCTTTTCCCCTCTTTTATTATCCATTAGACAGCTTGCATCAGTGTCTGAAAGCTGAGCTTGGATTTATCATGTCATGATAATTGAAATTTTTAAATAAAATTTAATCATTTTTCATTAATAAGAAAACATAATTCCTTCAAAAAAATAAAACCAGACATAGAATCCCAAAAATTCAATAAATTAATTACATTTATTTCAATTTTTCCAATCAAAAATGTTAATTCTAAGTCTGTTGAGTCACGATAAAAAATAAAAAGAATAGAAAAGAAAATAACACAAAAATTTAACGAGATTCAGCTACGATAACCTATGTTTTTAGACAGGAGTAAAGCAAGAAAATTCTACTATAAAAAAAAAAAAAAAAGCACAAGCTGCAAAAAAATCCCACTTACAATTCCAAATCTTAGAAATTACAAAAGTATTTCTCAAACCGTATTATATTATCAAACAAAACGGATCTTGTAATAGAAAAAATACAAAGGCCCATACTGCGAGAGGCTTCGCCCCTCGCACCCCCATGGAATCAGTGTTGGGCTACAAGCTCGGGTTTATCGGGCGAGCCCTTAGCTTCCAACACAAATTTTAATTTCTTTCTCCAATTCGGATCACACTCATTATCTTTCGGAATAGGTTACAATTTAGATTTAACAAATTCAAGGCACGAATCAAGAAAGTTATTGCAAGATGAATTTAAAGTGAAAGGTCTCTAAAAAGTTGCTTTAATTCTTTGTTTGGAGTTGTTTGGACGAGGTCTGTTTAGCTTCCAGAATGCAGTACTCTGTTCCTGCAGCTGTCCATTTCCTGCATGTGAATTGTATTGACAGTTTTCTCTTTCTACACTGGTTTCTTGCTTCGTCGTCCTGTTCTTCACCTTCCGAATCGTTCAAGGCCCCACTTTGGTTGGAGTTTTAGGGAATGCAGTGCTTAGTTTGTTTGTTTGCTCGTTTGTTTTTGTTTTGTTTTATTTTTTTTTGTAAATAGGAATTATTAATTCTCGTAATACTTAATTGAAAATTTGTTATTTTTTTATTTGGTTATCACATAAAAACTCATATTAAAATGAAAAAAATAAATAAGTATTTTTGACAAATTTTATTTTATTTTTACAATATATCTTACTTGAACAAAAAAGGGAAATAATAAAATAAAACTGAAGTTAAATTATCAAAAAATTAATTTTTTTTTAGTTTACAGCTTTTTCTATATTAAACAAAAAAAAATTAAAACTAGAAGCCGAAAACAACCAAACAGCATATTTATCTAATCGCATGACTTCGAGTTTAATTATAATAAGTTATTGTCATTTTAAATTTTCATTTCCTATAATTAAACCAATTAAGAATATGAATAATTATGTTTGGTCCGGGAGAAAATTTAAAACCTAATAAAGTCCAGTCCAATCTGATCAAGTTAAACAGTTTATTTGATATTAAATGACCCCAACTGAGAAACCACTATTGACCACCTATATTATTTATAAATTTGAGATGTACAATAAATAATTTTGTACATATGTTAGACCATTACTGATTTTTTTTACTAAAAATAATTAATATCAAATAAATAAAATTAAACCAATTTAATCCAAAAAAAAGTTAAAACTATTTAAATATAAAACTGACTTAATAAATTTTTTTTTTGTTAAAAATAAAGTTGTTCTGAGACCAATTTTTATCGCAAGTAAAGAAATTCGAATTACGTTCAGACGTAACACACACGTGTGCGATCATGCCCCAAAGCTCGTGACCCGCGCGTGGCCCACTTCTGATGGACTATTAATGCAGTCAAAATTCAACCCGCTTTCCTTGACCAACGGCATTGTCAAGGGGCGTTTGGTAATTTTCCAAATTTTTAATTTTTTATAAAAATATAAAAGAATTAGTTTATTGTAGTGTTTGGTTATATTAAAAAAAAATTAACCTTTAGATCAACCTTCTATTAAAACCGTCTTTTTTTAACATTTTCTGTACTTTATTTCAATTTTTTTTATATACAAAAGTGTGGCGAATAAGAAATCAGCCTTAAATTTTATCGTCAATCAATCATCTTTTAGGGTGTGTTCAGTTAAGGAGATAGAATATAATTAGATAAGTTTAAATTGATAATTTTATTTGAATTACAAAGTATTGATATGACATTTGATAACATTTAACCAAAAGAATAAGAGGTAGTAGAATAAAAAAACTATGTTATATAAAATATTTTTATGAGTACTGTTCATCATTCTTATCTTTACGAATGATCAAATTTTGTCTTATTTGATCTTTCTTTATATAAATAGTAGGGGTATTTTAGTCAAAAGAAGAAAAATATAAAGTTTGACAAGAGTTGACAAATTTTTCATACCTCTCCCCTCGTAACACTATCTTGTTTAGGCTGATACATATTTATATTACAATTTTTATCCAATTTCTTTACATGTGCACCGAACATGTGATAAGTTTAGATAAATTTATTTTATCATACTTTTATCAGTCAAATTGAACGCACCCTTACTGGTGGTTTTGTTTCTCTCTTATTTTCAGCATTTAGGCAATTAAGCCAACAAATAAATTTCTTATTTATTTTTTATAATTTAATGTAGGCTTTATTGATAAAGAAAATAGGAAAACAATTAAAGACACGAGAAATATTTAAGTAAAATGCATTTATGAGAAACACTTTAGTAGGAAAATAGATTATTCCATTATTAATATTACTTTGTTCTTCAACTGAAATTTTTCATAATTGTTTGTTTTCGAATTTTTGAATGTACCTTTCAGTCTGCTTCCTCTGCAGAATGAATTGTGCACGTTTATCCAACTATCTATTGCCCTTTCCGTATGTGCAAGAACCAGGGTTCCTTGTGGAGAAACAACGTTTAACTATTGGACTCAACTGAAATTATTATTGCTTCTTCGAATTTATTTTTAAAGACCAGGAATTTTTATATTTTATATTTTTATTTTTCTGCCCAACTTATATGTAAAAAGGAACCGAACAAAAAGCAAAAATTATGTTTTCAGGACCACGTAGAAGAAAAATTATAAAGGATCATCTTCCTCCCCCTTTCTCAATCTTGTCTCTAACCATTATTTCTAAAATTAGAATTATAAATAGTTTCTAACCATTACTTCTAGAATTAGAGTTATAAATAGGATGAATTTTAATTTAAATTTTATTTAATAAAATTTTCAATGAATTTAGATATGAATCTAAATACTTGTAATTTGAAATAATTATATCATATATAAAATAAAATAATCCGATCTATTAAATATTTAAATTTAAATTTTATTATTAAATTAATAATTATATATATAATATTAATAAATCAAAATTCATATAGATTAAATTACGAAAATTAAAAATTCAGCGAACAATATGATTGATAAAGTACAATCAAGAAAATTTAAGTACAAAAAGTACTATTTTATTATCAGATTAAATTTTTTATTAAATTTTAATTTATTTATTAAATTCATTTAACAAATACATATTTTATAAAATTTTGAATCAGATTTGAATATGAAATTAGATAACCAAATTTAAATTCAGATTTGCACGACTTTAATAACTAAACAGGATCAAGCAGAGAAAAAAATATTAACTACGGGTGGTAAAAATGGTAAAACAGTAACAGCAACAGCAACAAGGAGGCTGACCATTACACTATCGTCTACCAATTCACTCGGTTAATATGGAAACCTAATGGTGTGATAATTTGATGTAGCATTTTGGTCCACAAAAGGGAACAACCGTGAGGGGGGACGAAAATGGACTTGAGGTGTAACATTAAAATTCAACTATTGGAAAATCTTGAGGCTCCTTTTGGGAACAATTTCCAACCTGCCCTTCTTTTGAATGGACTTCTATTGGAGAAAAATAAATTATTACATGGCAAGGGTCAAATTGCAAACACCTCTCAAAACTCATTAATAAAAATTATATTTTAAATATTTTATTTTACTATTTTTAAAATTTTATAACATATTTTCAAATGCACCATAACCTTTAATTATAATTTACTTTTATTCATTTTTATTTTAAATTCTGACTTTTAATTTTATAAAAATATTTCTAAACATTCATGGAAAAATGCCTGACAACTTGATTAACTGTTCATTTAGATCTTTTTTTAGAAAAAAAATTTAGAAAATTCAGAGCAATTTTTTTCAAATATCCAAAAAAGAAAAATTCTCAATTTAGTTAAAAAAAATTGGTCTGGATAAAACTCTCTGATCATATTGTTTACCAAAGGCATTGCGCAAAATTAGAAAGTACTTCCACTAATTATTTTGTTTCTTTTTTTCTTTTTGCCAACAAAAGTATTTACGATAAGAAGGGTTTGTCCATTAGTTATTTTCCGTATTCATCCACAGGGACTGTCAAGTAAATCTACCGCCACAAACTTTTGTCCGCTCGATTAGAAGACTCCAGAGGTGGGGATTCATCGAAGGGTTGTTAGTCCCGCCTACCATGAGCAGTCGCACACCGTAGCAGAAGCAGTCAATTGAATTGTTGCGCCTATTTTAAACGCAGAGGCGCTGTTGTGTCCACACTTTTGACCATCCAATCTTACGGCCCATGTTCCTTCTCTACTAAAGCACGGAATGATACCACCCGTCGGATCTAAATTAAGGGTTCGCCTCGCACCTCCCCACACAGTCCCTCCGAGCTTCTCCTTCTGGTACTCTTCCCACTGCTCTTCTTCTCTGTCTGCCTCCTTCCTGCTCTCTTTCTCTCTCCCCTCTCTTCGGAAAACCGCTTCTTGGAAAGCGGTTTTCCTGGCACTTGGGAAGGGTTTTACGGTGGTAAGATTTTAGCCCCGATCAAATATTTGGAATCGGCGGGTTCCAGCTGCTTCGATTGGAGCTGATTTGCTTTTAGGTTTGTTCTAGGTTGAATTTTTGCTGCTTATCAGTGTTTTTCGAGGGTGTGTTTGGATGGAGAACGCGAGAGGTGTTCCGGAGTGAGAGAGATCCTGTCAAACTCCTCTCCTCCCTCCCAAAAGCCTTTGCGATTCGCAGCTTGTCGTAGCGGTTTTATTTCAGCCCCTCTCGTTCTTCTTCATCTCTCTCTTTTACATATGTACACATATCTGTGTCTGCATCTCACACGTCTCTCTAATTTTGCTTTCTTGAACTATTTTCCTCTCATCGAGTTCTGCAAATTCTCAACTTGTGGGATTTCTTTTTTTTGGTGAACTTGATGCCCATGCTGGAAGGTGTAAGTCCTAGATGTTTCCATCGTTTTGGTTCCACATTCAGTCATTTTCCAAGTCCTCGAAGACACGTTTTTGGTCGTTTTTTTTTAAATGTTAGTTCGATTTTCTAATTTTGGTGAATATATTTTCACCAAAAAAAAAAGATTTATTATATTTGCTCGATAGTGGGTGATCAGTCACTGTCACTCTTAGGGGAGAGAGAGACAGACAGATGGCAAAAAGGGCATTTCTATGATTGTTAGGGTTTGAAGTGCTTGTCATGGGATTCCTGAAGCTTATTTTCTCAGCCATCCGTCCAAAAACCAATAAAATCTCAATTTTAATTCCCCTTTCTAGTCAATTCTATTTATTGGCATTGTTTATTACCAAAGTTTCCCGCTGAAATAGTCTTATGTCATACTTCTTGTATTTTGGAATTTTTTTGGGAGGAGGGAAAAAATATCTTGGTTTTGAATTTTTTTTTCTCCGTCACATGGAATTCCTATTTGTGAAATATTCTTTGGGTGTGGAAAAATTTGGCTTACTTTGACTATTTATGTTCATGGTTGCCGATGCATCTATATTGACCGTTTGTATAATATACTGGTTATAGCTTCATCACTAATGGAGAAGACATAATACCAAAGGAATCTTGTTCTTTCTATCCGCAAAGGCAGAATAGAATCTCCTTTTGAGGGTTGCGATAACATGCACCTCGGACATTTTATGGACCTGTACTTCATACACGTCTTAAGTCCTTTAGTTTGTTATTAGTACAGACGTTTCTTCTGTATCAGAATATGTAGTCTGATTACTAACAGTGCTACTTTCTTATATTTCTCTCTATATCATCGCAGGGAAGAACTGTGTTCTGAAGATTGGTAATGGCTGGTAAGACGAAAATTGAGAAACGTATCCTTTCTGAATTGTTTATTGAGCCTTCTAGAGAATTTGTATAGTTGGATATGTGTGATATGGTTAACTCATGCATTAACACGTATCATTGAAAATCAGCAAATAAATTGTGTATTTGCTGAATTTTTTGCTATGAGTTTGTTGAATTTGTTTTCTATTAAACTTCTATACATCCTGCTGCCTATGAATTTGATCTTCCTTGCAATCTGATGATTTGTTGGGAATTGATTTATATATTCTGCGGTTTTACATGCATAAAAGTTTCTCCTTGTTAAAAATTGTGGTTGTCCTCTTTGAACTTTTAAATTCACATTTATGCAGCATTGTGTCTTAACTCTTTTAAGCTGAGCCAGTTGGTGCAGTGTTGAAGCCAGATCTGTGCGCCAAATTGACTGAACAAGATGTGGTATGTCAAAGATGATGTAATTGTTTCTATGTGGATTTAAGTGTTATGCTTTTTCCTTTTTTCTCACCATGGTTTTGGTTTTCTTGATAAAGTGTTTCTTTCCTAGAAGTGTAGTGGTATTTAGCTGGAGCTTTATTCCCTTTTTTTAATTGTTCAACAAAATCTGAAAATGGCGGTTTATCTTATTTTGTTATGGTGGTTATAGATGTAGTTTTAATGCTGAATTTAGAAACGAAGAATTTTCTTCTTGTTTTCAGTAGAATAGCTCAGTGATGAATCAGAATCCTACATGATTGTGCTAATAGCTTTTGTTGCTTCATGCATTCCTTTCTTTCATAATAATATTTTCAGACTATGTTGAAGAACCTGACTTGTCAGAAAAGAAAAAAAAACTATTTGATTGGGTTGCTCTTGGAAAAGATACAACCAGCTTTGCAATGAAAACTGCTTCATTAAATTCCTATTTGGCCCACAGAAGGATATGTGTTAGACCTAGAATTTCTGTAGTAACTTCCTGTACTTGGACATGCTGCAACAGGATGCGTCTGGGTGACTTCTTTGTGCCTTCTTGTGTCTTTTGTTGGTAATAAACTAGATTTTGAGAGAATTGTAACTCGTATTGAATTTCAATCCTTACCATGCTTCATACCAGACTAGTCATTGTTCTTCTTAAAAATTTGTTACTCTTTGTATTGAAGTCATGCTGGTAAACCATAATATTGTATGGATTCATACATGTAAATAAGTGGTTGTTGAACTATGTTTTGATGTGTTGCTCATGGGGAAAATATTCTAATGTCTTATAATTTCCAGTTGTTCTCCTTTTTTTTTTTCTTTTCTGTGTGTGTCTTAGTAGTTTTTTTAATGCGTCCTTCCAGGCTTCTGGAAATGATGGAACATCTTCTGTTTTGACCCCTTCTATATCCCCTTCACTAGATGCTAATAGTAGCATCAAAGGTGAGAGTGGTAAAGATTCAAATGCAGAACAAGGTGTTTACTACCCGTCCACTAGCTGTTATGATTATTATTACCCAGGTTAGATTGATTGATTCTATCCTTATATACAATCTACCATAAAGTTTTCAAACTTCAATTAATAAGTGGGTATAACTGTAGCTGAAGTCATGAATGACTAGTAATAAGAAACTCAGTATCTGAAAATTGTGTCTTATTTTGCAGGGTATAATGGTAATTTCACTCAGCTGGATGACCCTAATTATTTTAATGCTGGTGGTGGTGCTTATACAGTATGTTCCTCACCACATATGCTGTTGCTTATTGACTTGTTTAATTCTGTATGCTGGGCTTTGTTCCTTTAATTTAATTTAATTTTTTTGATGGACCATTTTTAATTTGTACTGTCCATAATATATTTAAAAGAGTTGTTGCATTATGAGTTGAATGTGGCTGACCTTCTCAGTTTACTTGTTGTGATGTCTTTAGGGTTTCCAATCAGATAATGGTTCACTTCTCTATTATTTACCTGGGTATAATCCTTATGCTTCCGGAGCTTTCATGGGCATGGAAGGTCAACAGCCATACTATTCTTCACCAGGGTACCTTCAGCACGCTGTTTCATATGGATCTGAAGGCATGCCATGTTATTCGTGGGACTCCACCTTTGTTGGAGATGTAGCAAATGGAACCTCTGGCATCTCTGGGAAATCAAAATCTGCTAATGGGTTGAATACTTCAATGAAGTCAACTAGTTTTAATGCCATAAAATCAAGTAATGGTTTTGCGGGCAAATTTCCAACGTTGCCTCTGGATTCTAAGCCAAGAAAATCTGCTGCCACATCTAATATCTCTAAGACTGTGCTGGAAAGTCAACCTCTCAAAAATTTGGGCAAGGTGTGGGTGCTTTTGATTGAGATCTTATCGGAAGATTACATATGAATTTTAATAATAAAAAAATGTGGGTTTTAATTTTAATTCTAACATGATGGCAGAAATCTGCCTAGAAGTCTCTATTCTTTCCCATGTTACCTTTTTTTTTTTTTTTTTGGATGAGGAAAACTGTGAATGGTTCTTATGCCTTTTATATAAATTTGCAGTTAGGTTCTGGTTATCCATCAGGAAGCCTTGTGAAGGGGTTTCAACCTGTTGGTAAGTTCTCCCCATATATCAACCAAAACCCTGGTCTTTTCATGCATAATTACAGATCAAATGGTAGAGTATGGAATGGGAACAACAGAAATAAATTCAGGGACAGAAATGGTGAATTTGATGCGTCAACTGAGCTTACTCGTGGTCCTAGGGCTCAGAATGGAAGCAATCCTTCTAATCCCTCAGCAGAGGAGCACGTGGGTTCCACTGTACAAAGGGAGAAGTATAACCTAGAAGAATTCCAAACTCAATACGAAAATGCAAAGTTCTTTGTCATCAAGTCATACAGTGAAGATGACATCCATAAGTGTATCAAGTATGATGTTTGGTCAAGTACTCCTAATGGCAATAAGAAATTAGATGATGCTTTTCACGAAGCAGAAGTAAAAGCGAGTGAGACAGGCACACAATGCCCAGTTATTCTATTTTTCTCAGTAAGTGTACTGCAAAACATTGGAAATTGTTTATCATTTGTGTCTTTTATTTAGTCTATCATATGCTTTGGTTTCTATTATTAATTGACTTGATGATGCGGATTTTTTGTTAGGGTTTGCTGATTACTTCTCCTATCGGAGATTTTATGTTATGACATTTCCCATGTTGAAATTCAGGTAAATGGAAGTGGACAATTTGTAGGTGTTGCTGAGATGATCGAATCAGTGGACTTCCACAAAAACATGGACTTTTGGCAGCTTGACAAATGGAATGGGTCCTTTCCTGTAAAGTGGCATATAATTAAGGATATTCCTAATATGCATCTGCGACACATTATCCTTGAAAACAATGACGGTAGGCCTGTAACTTACAGCAGGGACACTCAGGAGGTAAAATTTTTTATTTCTTTCTGGATAATAATAAAAATTATGTTTGCTTAAATTACTGGAAAAAAATGTTTGGCTTAAATTATGAGGTTTTCCAATTCTTAAATTTTTGTTTTATCTCGCCCATGGTTTCTTTTGTGCTTGAGGATGAAGTAGGTATACTAACAGAAACCTGCGGAATGTCTTTTGCCATCATAGCCGTGATTGTAAATCTCATGTCAAGTTGGGCTGTTCATGGTGTAAAATTCTTGCAATCATTGTTACTGTTTCAGATTGGACTCAAGCAAGGTATAGAGATGCTGAATATTTTTAAGAGCTACTCGGAGAGGACATCGGTGTTGGATGATTTCAACTTCTATGAAAGCCGCGAGAAAGTTCTTAAAGCTAAAAGAAGCAGCAAACAAACTTCTTCTCAAACAGGGATCCATGAGGATATGATTATCCATGTGAGTTTTCTGTTTCTCATACTAGGCAATGTTGTAGTCGTTCATTTTATTGCGAGTTATATGTTTCTATGACTGAAAACAAGTCCAGTTTAATTGCGGACTCTGATTTATCTTGTGACCAGAAGCGTGCCGGGGAAAGGGCAGCTGAAGAAGCAGCTAGGGAAAATGGTGCTGATCCAACATCATCTATCGTCAATCTGACTAAAAATCTCTCCCTTAATTCTCACCCACTGAAGAGTGGCGCTATTACGAATCCCAGCGAGAACTTGGTTCCTTCTGTTCCTGCAGCCTAGGCATTTTAGAGAGTAGGGCATGCCATATTATCATACAGGCTTTTCTTTGAAGATTTTAGTTTATAGGAGTTTTTGAGTTTTGGTTGGTTGGCAGTAAGAGATTTATTTTCTTCTGCCGTGGTCTTTTCCTTTGTCCTTTTTTTTTTTTTTCCTTTTTTTCCAATTCCATTTCCTCCCCCATGTTCTATTGTCTCCTGCAGATACTGGTGCTTTAGTAAATTTTCCCATTTTGATTTTCAAGTTATGGTCTTGTTCTATCATGTGAAAAAACCATGCAGCTCATTCCTGGTTAGACTATTAGCATTTGGTAGGAATTTAATATGATCAAATTTTATTGTTACTATAATAAATTTTTAAAGTTGCCATAAAAATTTTGAGATTTTTATTATCATGATATATTCAAAACCAATGAAAATATGAATAATTTCATATCAATTAAAATATTAATGTAACAATTGAACATGGATTGTGGCATCCATAAATAAAGCTGCCACTTTTTAACATGTTTTGGCAAAAATTGTTTGAGAGGGGTTTAGATGAATCTAAAAAAAATTTAAATGTGGTTGAAAAATAAAATTAACCAAATTTATATTTGTTAATCTTTATCACTTATCAGTTCATGAAATTGTTATTTATGGGTTAAAGGGGTTGTCATGTGTAAGTAATATATTGCATATTTTTTTATAATATTAATTATATGTACATGTATATATATATATATATATTTATATTTAGTATTTTGTGAGAGACATGATTTTATCATATTTGATATTCTTTATAGAGTTTTTATCCTAATATTGGTATCGTTAATCTATAATTATAATATAACAAATTTGTTCAACTCGTATTATGATATTAATATTTTTTATAAAAAATGATGTTATTATAATAAAAAATTAATAATGTATCTAAGACTTAATTAAAATGAGATATCACTTGTAATGTTTATTTAAATATTATAAGTTTCACTCTTAACTTTCTTTTTTTTAATTTAGGTTTAAACCTCTAATATAATTATAAAATTAGTACTTAATAACAATAGCATTAAGTAATTCATAGATCCTGTGCAAGAAAAATTTTTTTTGCTATTTTTTAAATAAAAATACAAAGTAAATTATTTAATCATATTTTAGTCACTTCTTATTATTGATTATTAAATTATTTAATCTGAAGATAAATTTGGAACGTAGTTAAAATAATAAATACATGGTGAAATTTAAGTAGTAACACTATTCCAAGATCGGAATTGTAAGTCTCGAATGTTGTCCTCGTACCGGTCTTAACTAACCTCGGAGCCAAACAGCGCCAAAATCCCTAAACCCTTGCTCTTGCCGCTGAGAATCGGAGACCACACCACGAAGCGAATAGCTTGTCACTCGTGACAGCGGTTGGATTCGATTGAGCTTATCGATTCCAATGACAGACGACAATTCGACGCAGTTGACCTCGGAAAATCTCAAGCACTCCCTGGACCAACGGCCTGAATATCCTCCACGGCCGCCGAAGATCCAAAGGACCGACGGCGAGGGCCCCACCGACGACGACGACGACGAGGAAGAAGAAGAAGAATCAAAGGAGTCTGTCCTCAGTGACAAAATCATGAGCCAGAAACCTAGGCTTCAGAGGTACTTAGTGGCAATTGAGTACATTGGTACACGTTTTGCGGGAGCTCAGAAACAACCAAATTGTAGAACAGTTGTTGGTGTACTCGAGGTAAGCTCTGAGATGTTCTGGCTCATGCTTATGTTGAAATACTTAAGATTCAGTTGTTGGGGGCCCTTGGAAATGAAATGGTGCTTATTTGTCATCTCGAGTTGCTGTTGGTTTATTGAAATTTACAGTGCACTTAGTTGCATTCAGTGTGCTGCCTTAGTTAACCGAAGCAGTAGCTACGTAATTCAGTTGGTATAACGAGATGTGATTTTGGAGGAAAATAATGCCTAGTTCATTCTGTTGGTGTTGGTCGCAAGTGATATTGACATTCAGCAATAAATCAGCTTACTGACAGTTGATGAATTCGTAGATAGATCCATTTACAAAATAGTTATGCCTTCCGGTGATTTCTATTTTTTTATCCTTGTTTTGCTTCTAGGGTTTTGAGGGAGAGAATGGAAACAAAAGATTCAATGGTAAAATAAACGAGCAAAAAAATATTATGCTTTTATCAGAAATCAGAGGTGTCTTACAACTTTATTTTTTATTTTTTATTAATTTGAGTTTCTCTTGAGAATAGATAGCAGAAAGTAACCCTGATAATGTTTGAGCTTTTTAAACTTCTTCATGATTGCAGAAGTTCTCTTAAACAAAATCTACAAGTTTAGTGGAGTAAATGGAAGGGTTTCTACTTGAAGTAACAGTTCCAGAAGCCCTTGCTGAGTAATTAACCTAGAGTTGTTTTCAATTTACTTTCAATTTCCTTTTGCTTGAGTTTCTTCTAAAAGACTTCATCAGACATATTTGTTGTCTTAAAAGTCCTCTATAAAGTTCTTGACAAAGGACTTTCAGTTGAAGGAAACTGCAAAGAAGAAGATCTTTATTTCCTTCTCTTTTGAATTCTCTCAACAATCCCAGAGCAAAGTAGTATGATATTTCTTGCTGTTATTTTGTTCTAACATTTGGATAATGTATTTTAAGATGATTAGATGAATTGAGTAGTCATTTTATTTTGGCTTTTCTTGTTCCATGCAGGAAGCTTTTCATAAATTTATTGGACAACCAGTATCAATCTTTTGCTCAAGTCGAACTGTAAGTTAACATATACTAGCACTAAGCATACTTTTTATATGTTTGATTTGTTTGAAGGATATTATTTTCGGGAAAGGGTTGATGGAGAACTGGACTGCCTTCCTATGGGACATGGTTTTGTTAGCTGATGAACTCACATGGTATCAAGTTATTAGAAGGACATAGTTTTTCCGAGAAAATATCTGTGATATTTAGTTTGATGACAAAATTAAATTTATTTGATTAATTTTTTTAAAATTAGTTGTTTAATATTCTATGGGAGCCATGTTGAACTTGCACAGTGAATGGATGGTTTCATTAGAAAAATAGGCCAGATGTGGTGGCACAACACATGACTGGTTTTCTGCACCATCAAAACAAGGAAGATTTATGATTCTAGAATTCTTATTTTACATAAACAATAAGAAAAAGAACCTTAGAAACCATACAACCACTTCCATAAATGATTGAACCATATTTTTTGTTGGAACTAATTCCATCCTTCCCACCTAATCATCCTTCAAAAATGATGAACGCGTTGGCTTAAGATTTAGAAGGAAATGCTTTCCTTTATTTTGTGTGTAGAAGCAAATTCCATGTTCAACTTTGTATTATGACTATTATAGAAAATTCCTATATGTGGATTTTGATTTTAGAGAGCTTACAACTTTGGTTCTGGGACATCCTCTGCTTATAATTGATAGAAATTAGTTGTCCTCTGATCCTAATAACATCCACATGCACTGCTGAAGTGCTGCACTGTCTTTGATTTTTGCAATTTCATCACTTGAAAAAGCTTTATTCTGCATATTGTCTGATTAGAGTTCCACCATACTCGGGAAATTCTTCATAACCTAATGGTATGGTAAATTTTGGGCCAGAAGAAGCTATGACTTCCAACCTGCATAAATTGTTTGTGATCCCTCCATTTCTCAGGAGACTATATTTTTAAAGATTTGTGGGTGCATGCTTCAAATTTGATTTATGTTAAAACAAAAGTGATTATGCTTGACCTCTGTGCTGTATATATCAGTAAGTTTCTTTGGCTCCTTTTGATATTGGTTTTAACATTGACCTTTTAAATAGGAGCTTATTAGAGGGAAGAAATCAAATGGGTATATGTTTAAGTTGGGTGTTAAAGTTTTTCCCACCAGAAAGCACAAGTCAATATAAGCTGCTTAAAGGTTTTGCTAAATAAAACCTTTGCATTTTTTTATGCAAGACATCAGGCTTTGACTATTGTAGGATGCAGGAGTACATGCCTTATCAAACGCTTGCCATGTAGATGTGGAACGCATAAGCAAAAGGAGACCTGGTGAAGTGGTACTTACCTACAAAATCTTAGTTCTTTCCCTCTCTGCTGCATATAAATGTTGCATATATTGCTGATTAGGGTTTCACTTAAAAAGGAATCATAATTACTTTTTGTAATTACATGTAAATATCCACTTTAACATTGAAGAGTGTTTATTTATTCAATGAATATTCAGTACATTCACCGACACTCACGTGAAGATGATTGAAACTCACTAATTAAAATTTAAAAATATAATTGCCTCTACCTTTTATTATGCTTGCTACATAATATCCACCTGCTTATTCACAGTGAGGTCATTTTATGTGGGAGACTTGTTTATGGCTTATTTTATGGAGTAGACAAGAATTCTGGATTGTGTAACAAACTGTAGGTATTGGGCAATGCAATCTATTGAAACTAACACTTATTTAAAGAAAGATTCATATCAATATTTTTTGCACTCCCACAAAGCTTGTCTCAGTATGGGTATTGGCATGCTTCTGGAAAATATTCCTTTTGTTGTACAAGACAATCTATGTCACAAAACAGAAATGCAAATGATACAGTTGAAATGTAATGGAAATGACAAGATTTATGATTGCATATGCAAATTTCTGTTGTATATTTGAATAGAAGCATTGCCAAATCAACTCACATTATTAATATTTAGATTAAGGGTAAGCAATAAACTACCTACAAGTATTAGGTTAGTAGATATCCTAACACGGTGTGCATTAAGCTATGAGGACAAGGAGGTTACATTCTTATTATCCATAGACGCATTATAAAGATAATTTGAGTAGCAAAACTAAAATACAGATAAATAAGCTGCTAAAGATTGATGATATTATATCATATAGAAAAACAATTAATTGAGAGTAAAAATCCAATCTTCTTTTAATATACGAAACTTGCAGTAGACACACCAGTATTTGATGGAAAGTTGGATTTGGTGTGGCAATCACCCATCTTTCAACATTGGATGACTAGAAAAAAGAGGGTTAAAACCAAATGAACTTATTAAGAAAATGGGTTGTGATTTTCATGATATGTTGCTAGATACGTTCGCTACTTGTATTGGTGAGAGGAGGGAATCTGGAAAATCAACCCTTTTGCCTGAATTGCTTCAAAATGTATTCCACCCTCGCTAATGAACTTAGTAAGCCATTTATAGTTTCCTCTTGGAAGTTTCCTTCCTTCGATGGAAATGATGGACATGTGATAAGCGGCTAATGCTGTGTATATTCTAAAGTCTAAACTCTTCTCAACACTTGCACACCCAGTCATTTTTGAAATACGTTTGATCTTGTGACATGCTAGAACTTAAAGCAGTCAAGGCAAATATAAATTTATCATTTTTAAGATGTGAATGCCCTGGTAGACTTGTCACTTAAGTGGTGTCAACGTGCAGTTACCACCTCATGAACCTGCAGTGGTTAGAAGAGCTGTCAACCATTTTTTACAGGTTTGGAATTATTTCGTTTACAGTTATTACTGTATATCAATCTAAGACATGAAGATAATATATATCTATTATGTTTCTTTTTAATCATTCTTTTTCCTTCTATACTTGTCCTTGTGTTCATGAACAGTGAAGTCTTAGTTAGACAGTATTAATGACATTTTTTATTGGATCCAAACCTAACTGCATTTCCTTTTGTTGTAGGAAATTTTTGAAACTTTGTTGACATGTATTGAAGCACTTCCTTTTTTGCACATGTCAAAACAAATTTTTTATTCTTAACTTGGGTATGAGTACAATTGAATGTAGATTCATATAGGTATGTATTCCACAGGGTGGAAGAGAAGGGCCATGTGATAGTATAGAAACTATTGAATGGCCCCTCTATGTGTAGGGGCAAGGCTGTGCTTAGACACCTAATCTTCCCTAGGCCTTGCAGAAGTGAAATCATCATGCACTAGGCTGCCCTCTTATTTAGTGGGCATATTACATGTATTACATTTACCATTTAAGCAAAATCCATTTGATAGTTCAGGCTGATTTTATGTAAACTAATCAGGGCTGGGACAAAGGTTGGTGTGTTTGGTGTGCTAACTCTAGATTTAACAAAAAAATTAGTAGCATATTTTGATTTCTTATTGACTATGTGCTTAGATTCACACCATTTTTAGGGAATTTTATTTGAAACTCGATTTTATTCATGGTTCTGAACGTAGTATGTCCTGCTGGCATGCAAAGGTTTGAAGATATAAATTGATTTGCCTCTGCTGTAATCATTAATAGTTTCACATTTTTAAGGGGACAGACCGAAAGTTTCCAAGTTTCAAGCTTGGATAATGACCTACTTGTGATTTTGCTGCAGAAGAATGAGGGCGATATCACAGTGATAGATGTTCGATGTGTCCCACCTGATTTTCATGCTAGATATAAAGCTCAAGAACGAACGTAGGTACCAACCAAATGTAAAATATTCCCACACTTAATTATTGTTATATGTTGACAAGATGACATTTTGCAAAATTAACTGTGGTATATACAAACCATTACTTGGAATAATTTTTCTATTTTTTGCTTAGCTTTTTGCTTTTGGTTTTTGTTTGCTTAAAAATCAGCAGCTTATTTAATTCTATTCAAGGTAAGAACAGATAGCATCTTGCCCATAATATGCTTCTAATGTTAATATCTGAAAGGAAAGAATGTCATACTGCTGTAGAGTTTGTTGCCGTGTGACATTCTTGAGTTCATTGAACATAAATGCAAATGACTTATAAACATTGGATAAATGCTAGAAGTAGTTGATGGTGGATCCTGAGTAATCCTGTAACCTTTCACCTCTCATCTTTTATATTTTTATAAATTTAAAGTGCATTTCTGTCTTTTGTTCCTCATTATTTGCTAGTAGTCAATATATTTTTTATGGATGGTATTATTAATTCTGTCTTAGGTACTTCTACCGTTTGCTCTCTGGACCAGAGCCTTTGTCAACCTTTGAAAAAGATTGGGCTTGGCATGTGCCTGAGGACCTAGATCTTTTAGCTATGCGGGTTAGCTAATTTTGGATACATTGTTTTGATGAAGTTACTTTGTATGCACTATTTGATTTTTTTTTTATTACATAGTGCATAATTTGTTTGAATGTTGGCCAGAAAGCATGCAAAGTTCTTGTTGGACGACATGATTTCAGTTCTTTTAGGGCGGCTTCTTGTCAGGTGATTTATTATTTCTCAGATATCTATACAATATTAAGCTTTATTAAGCTTTTCTCTCTTTAAAAGAATAAAAGACATTGTTCGGCTTGTTTAGTTTGCTTTACTGTCTATGCACCCAGCAGTTTTTTTATTCTCCTGCTTATCCTATGTACAATTGATTCTATGACATGATTCTCTTCCCTTGCTTTTAGGTTTTTAGGTGTTTATCAAAGATCTTATGCTTTTCACAAAATCCATGTTTTAAATTTTAGTTTACTGTAATTGCTTTCTTGAGATAGAGTTAATCAGCAGAGCACATGCCATGAGCTTAACATAGATTGTATGGAAACCCCACCTCAGAATTATCGTCACCATTGCAATCAGAATTTTATTTTTCCATCGGCATGGAAGTTTGTTTAGGATATGCATAATGATAAGGATTTTTCTTTTTGGTCTGGGATTTTGCTAGTTGAGTTGGTATCAGATCGATGCATCAGAAAATGTCGGGAATTTTGAGGTTCTGCCTGACCATCTCTATATCTGGTTAGTTGTCACTCAAAATATCTCGTTGGTAAGTCATTAACAAAAATCAGTATGTTGCCTTCTGATTTAAGATCCCACTAGGGAAATACTGTTGCAATAAGGAATATTCATTCTTTTTTTTATTATTCTTCCTCTGAAGTCTTCAAGTAGTGCACCCTGGGGGATCAATTCACCATCATTGTGACAATGTGATTATTGAATGCATTTAACATAACAATTTGCTGGCTGCTTATTGTATCCTGGTATTTGTAACTAACATCAATATCTAATGGTTTTCAATATGATGGTAAAGTTTCTTTTGCTTTAACAGGCCAAGTCACCCATTAGAACTCTAGATGAGCTTAGTGTGACTGAGGTGGTTTCTGCTCTGTATTTTCCTTCAATTACAGAGCGGGAACAAAGTAGTTCTATGGGGGAAGATTCTTTTGTATGCTCCAGTGTGTCAGACACTGATATCTCTCATGGTTGCTCGATATCCAGTAAGGATAAAGTAAACAGTTTAAATGATGAATCTTGTTATGGATTTGGCATGAGGAAAAGACATCGCTGCTATGTGGTCACTGCAAGGGCACGTTCCTTTCTGTATCACCAGGTTGGAATTATGCATCTTATTTGATTTAAGCTTGTATGTTGTTTATGTTCTTCAAGTCTCTCAAATTTCTCTGTGGTGATTGTTCTTTTGCTTCCTTAGTTAATTTCTAGTGGAAGTGATCTTACCATTGATTTTGTGGACGGAGGGGGAGGAACATTGACTTCAGTTTTGAAACCAACACATTATAAGTGTCATTAAATTTAACATTCATGCCGCCCCCAATTTTTTATTGTATTCCCCAATCTGTCCCCAAAATTACCTCCTTGCAAGCTAAGATGCATAGCCACACAGACACACTGATGTAACAATTTGGAAAAATATAAGACTCTCAACATTGCAAGGACATAACCAAAAGATATAAATTTTATCTGTGCTCATTATCTTTTATACAGAACTTCATAAAGTGACTGCTAAGTGATATAGAGGCTAAAATTCTACCCCTGCACACTGTAACTCTTTCTAGGACTGCCCTTCCTCTGGTACCATGCAGGAGACTCCTGCTCCAATTGTTTGGACTCTACTTTTGCCAGATTGCGTAACTCTACCTGTCTGCTCATGTGTGCCAGAGGTTCTAAGTATCCATCAGTCCAACACATCTGTTTTTCCTCTAATGTAGGCGGGTGCTTCCTTCAACATTTTCAGAAATGTCATATCTGAGATGCACTATCATGGAAGTACATTTTTCTACTCAAAGAAGAGTTCTCTCTATGATGCGTGTTTCACCATTTATCATTATCATAATACCAAGATGTCAGGATTAGATAAACAGATACCACTGTGGAAGTCAAGTTACATTTTCAATAATAGTGCATTATCTGTCATAGGAGTTTGTTCTCCTTTGTTGTGAAATTATTGACTAGATGTATATTTAGCTGTTTTGGTTTGTGATATCCTTCTGAAGATTGCAATCAATTTCTCCCAGGTAAGACTGCTAGTTGGTGTTCTCAAATCTGTTGGCACGGGAGAGTTGACAATTTCCGATGGTAATGTATTTGCATCATTTTTTCTTTGACCGTGATATACAGCTTCTGGACGAGTTTTCTAAACTAAATCCATTGGTGGTTTTAAAAATCAAAATACTGCAGTTGAACGCATCTTAAATGCAAAAAATGTCACTGCTGCAAGTCCTATGGCTCCTGCATGTGGTCTCTTCTAGGAAATGTCAAGTATGATTTGTCTCAGGATCTGTCAAAATAACTAGCTGATTTATTGCGATGGTTACGTGGAAATTTTGATGAACTCCCATTTGTTCTTCGAGAATGGGTTTAGTACCTGACCCAGCATCAAATAGAGGATCATCTTTCCAGCAAGCAACAGATGAGAGCCTCTTGTGGTCGAGGGAAAGGAGTGTAAGAGGGAGAACTGGTAATGGCACCAAGTTTTGCACCAAGAAGAGAGGTATATTGGCATTCTATACCATATCCAGGACATGAACAGTGGTTCAATATTATTTATATGATTTTTGTCATGTTGACAAGTATTTTAATTTTTTGAGCATGTAACAGCCAGATTAATTATATCATGGAATTTTCCTACTTTCAGAATTGGTTCCTCCCCTCATTTGAACCTGAGAACATGAATCCTCGTTTAACCAGGGAAGATTACCTTGCTTAGCATATATTTGTTTGCCGTTCCCATTCAGTAATGTAGTGTTAGTTTGGATCTTTTAATTTGCACGTCAAAGTGCTGCTAAATTTCAAATCGGCCAAGTTTGGCATTAAGGGGCTGAAAATTTGTGATAGCATGCTTTGTAACTTTGCCTTTTTCCATTCGTATAATTTTGCATTTTCCCTATAACTTCTCTACGGCATATTGTAATACGGGCTGTAATTTATGTCAATAGGCCCTTAAATTGGATACTACCTCTGGGCTTACCATATCGTAAAAGAATTCAGTTTTTGCCATTCACAAGTAATCTGTGTCACAGCACTCAAAAATCCTTTGCAAGTAATCTATATTGCAGCACTTAAAATCCTTTACCCCACGTAAGTGGGTGGCAGTTACCCAGCTGGCTATGCCTCGTCAATATCCGGTTGAGGAATGTATACAAATTTTTTTGGTCCAGATCTTTGAAATCCAGTCCTCATCCTTTAGGTTGGATTAAAAAATGTACCTTCTTTCCTTACTTTCACTTTAAGAACATTAATTGCATAAATAAGTCCTGTATAGTTGCCCATAATTAGTTTTGCACCTTTCCCCGCCCCACCTCCCTCCCCCCCCCCCTCCAAAAAAAAAAAAAAAAAAAAAAAAAATCAAAACTAACGACTTCCACGTGGAATGATGCTTGATGTAGGCGTATCCATTGCTCCATGAATTAAAATATTATATTGCATCCCCACCACCCCAAATAGGGAGGGGGAAAAGTTAATTCAGTTATAATATGATCAATGTAGTCTACTGGTTATTTAGGATGTCTTCCAACCATGGAAAAATATTTACAGCACCAAATGGAATTACCTTGGGACGTTTAGTGTGTTACAACAATTCTAGCTGTCTAAAAAGGTCTACTTCATAAACATCATGATGGCTTCATCAATTTTACTGCATCGGCTGGCATTTGGACGCCTAACAAGTGAATGAGGTCCACTCCACGCAGATCTGTGATTGTTGGGAAAGAGGCTTCCACATAACTTTGGAAGCATTGGATTCTCATAATGGTGGAAGTTCTCAAACATTTTAGCCTTCTCTCTCTTTGTCAATTCCTGTAACCACAGCAGTTCACACGAGAGTAAATACACATCCTAAAATTTAGCACTTTCATATTTGAGATTTCTTAGCAAATTTGATGGAAAGTTTACTAAGTTTTAGGGTATATAAACTGCAACCATAATGTTCTCATTTAATTGTATTTCCCAACCTCAGCACAACTTAAAGCTTCATTTCCTACATTTTCCCCATTCCATACCCTGGGGGGTATTTTTCTTCTCGCACAGATCAGGAAAAGCCATGATGATTACAAAGAAACTAACCAGCTGAAAATTTACTTCTGGGCAACCATATAATATATTGTGGTGAAAAATCCTGCAGAAAAGTCAAAGGAACACGTACCTTTGGCTTCTGTTGCTCAACTGCTGCAGCTTCATAATCATGCTTAATGGTTGTTTCTCCTAATGGGGCATCAAACTGCATATCACCCTCAGAGTCTGTTATGGTTGTTGGGTTTCTCTTCATTGTTCTTGTCCCGTAACTTTCACCTGGCTGTACAGGTCCAGATGTTACATCTTTTGTCTGGATCTCTGTCTCACCACTCTTCTCCTCCTGCTTCTCTGGTACAGGACTATGTAGCTGTTCAGTAACTTCCAACTTAACCTCCTCTACTTTTTCTTCCAAGTCAGCATCTGCATCTGGCCCTGGTGAATTATCCATATCTGATGAAGTATCCTCACCATAGGGACTTTCTGCAGGTGAAGGTTCCTTTTCAAGGAACAAGAAGTTTAGCTTCTAAGGGTATGGACTGAAATATAATACAGATATCAGTTTGTCTTCAACTTATCTCACCAAATTCTACAACGTCATATCAGGCCAGACAAAACATATATTCATCATGAAAGACATAATTGCTACATATAACATGGTGAATATGCCAGTTGTGAGAATTTCTAGATATTCCATCAGCAATTTGCATCAAGAAGCCGCCCCCCTGGAGATTGGTACAACCCCAAGGACTTTATCTTGGTAATGGCTTGGCCAGATCAGATTGGGGGAAGCGCAAGGGCATGAGGTTTCATTAATTCCTCTAAATCTAATAGAGGCCTAGTTGGGCCTTTAATGTAAATTAATTATTTTAGCTCAAATTTAACTATTCAGCATATTTGAAATTATAAATAACAAAACATTCACTCAGATCGTTTCAGGGAATTCCCTCTCTTTTAAGGGAATATTTAACAAGTGCGTCCAAATCCAAATAAAGAGCACTAATTTGTCCACCACCTCTTTATTCCCACTTTCCAATATCCAGTTTCAACTTAGAGAACTCTGTTTAAAAAGAAACCATAATGAATTAAATTGCCACATAGAAAAGAAGCCTTGGAATCAGATGTTCAATTCTTATTGACTAAATACATCAGTGAATTGAATTGTTGAATTAGCAAATTCCAAGTAGTCCTATTTCACTTTATAAGAGCAGTAGGGTGCCAAAAAATCCATAACTTGAACTACAAACTCTAAATATCACTGGAGCACCAAAAATACCTCTGGTTTTACATCTTGAGCAAGATGACGATAACTATGCTCTCTCTGGTCTTCACTTTGAGCACTCTCCTCGCGCTCCTGTCTTCGGCGCATCATAACACATATAGCACACAGACAATCGTCCTTGTGCTTTTTAACTCTGTTAAGTGAGAAACAAAATGTTTGAGTTTAGAAGTGCTTTAAATGACCTGTAAAGCATATGGAAATTACTTGCTATAGAAGAAAAAATATAACAGCAAACCCATGGGCAATTGATGCTTTTAGAATAGAATAGAACTCAAGAAAATAAATGATTTATACTTTGTATAAACTTTCTGAAAGCTTTGCGCATTAAGTTCATCTAAAAACTGACTGCTTAATTTAGTTTGACTCATATTGTTTAGCAGTATAAAAAGATTTAGCAGTTAAAAATTACTCAGACATCATCAAATAATACAAATATCAAAATTTGGGCCTATGTTTAATAGATTGGAATAGAAGGGAGGATATCTGAGAGGCCATTATTAGAAATAAATCCTTTCATTTTTTTTTTTTGGGCTTAATTCATAAAAAACCTTTGTAAGGAGTCCAATTTCTTTAGACTTATTCAATTAGTAAATATATTTCTTCTATAAGAGTTTGAGCAGTCAAAGGAAGCTCCCTCTCCCCGTGCGCACGCAAACCACCCCCCCCCCCCCCCCCAAAAAAAAAAAAAAAACTCAGTTATAATATTTAAGGGGGTGCTAAAAGTTTTTCATTTAACTCTCCTAGTCCTAACTTCTGATATTTTTTCCCCTCATTTTCTTAAACTTGAAAGGCTAACACATTTTCTCTGAAGTCCATGGTGCCAAACACCCCCTCATTCCCTCTTAAAATCAATGTTAAGTACTGCAAAGTTGTCACTCACTTCTCAAATGATGGGTAATAAATGGTATAAATTTGTCATGGCTATATACAACAAAGACAACCAGCAAGCCCTTATTTTTTCTTCATACAAATATTTATAATCTTCAAATTCAAATAAAAGCTTCAGTGTTAAAACTTAGTATCTGAAATAATCAAATTACTCCACCTTTCCCTTCTTGTGCTTCACTCTTAAACCTTATTTTCATTCTAAATTTTTTTAAAGTAACTGGCAATCATATGATTCTAATGAAAACCCGAAAAGACATACCCATGACGCTTCCTTGTCTTTTGCTTTGAGTGACCACCTTTCCCCTGCGTCTTCATATTGCTGCTTGGCGCTACATCCTTGGATTGAATGCTCTCAACACCTACCAAGTAGAGTGTGGTTTGTCAATAAAATAAACTAAGCACAAACTGCAACAAATCTTTATTGCTTTTCTTATTGGACACAAGCACCTAACTATCAGAGGACAACTATTTCTTACTAAGAATACCAAATAATTGTCCATTGTTAAAAGGCTATGCTGAATTAAAAAAGTTAAAACAAATTCAGGATTAAGAAAGAGACAAATAATCAAAAAGGAGAATGATCATGAGGCCTCACCACGCCGTGATTGATCAGTGTACAACCCAGCTGCTGTCCAATACTTGGTGAAGTTCTTCTTCACACGCTTCATAAGCTCCACAACATAATCACCTTTATTATTATATTTATAGCAATTTTCCCAGATATACTGCACATCCTTAAACACATCCTCTGAATTCAAGTACTTGATACCACTCTCAAGATTGCCACATATTGTCCCAAAATCCATAGGTGTGTCAATAACATCCAAGTAATCCTGGTTCCATCCCACAAAGGAATGGGTCATTAAGTCAGAATATAACTAGCATTCATCCAAATAGCACCAAAAAAAAAAAAAAAAAAAAAAAAAAAAAATATATATATATATATATATATTCCAAAGAGTTCAAAATTCAAATGCTATCTTTATGAAACTGAGGACTAATCTATAGTGCAACCTTGGAATGAAACTGCAAAGCCAGGTGATATTAAAGCAAAGAACAGATCAGTTATGA